CTATGATTCTATGATTCTATGATTCTGTTACAAAAACCAAGCTGGGATGAGGGGAGAGGGCAGAGGAGAATTTATTCCTTCTTGAAATCATGTTGTCTGCATTGTGTCTTGAGGTTGGTTTGAGTACCATGGGCATTTAGCTAATGTTGCCATGAGTCGAAATTGACTTGAGGGCATCTAACAACAACAACAACAACAACAACAAAATAATTTCTGTGGTTCTCAGTCATGTAAACAGACTGCTAAAAGAATACCAACAGCATTTAGCTTGTATCAAAATAGACTCGTCCCTCCACATTTGTGGCTTTGACTTTTGTGGCTTTGATTATTCATGGATTTTATTAATATGTTCTCTCTAGGAATATCTAGCTCCTCCAGCGCAACTCTATGGTCAACTTTAACCAAATGTTGCACCAAAGGACCTAGAGATTCCTAGAGAGAACACTCCCCAAGGCATTTGTAGGTCCTCCAGCGTAATTCTATGGTCAATGTGTGGCAGATGTTGAATGCAGATTTGCACTGGAGGATCTAGAGATTCCTAGAGAGGTGTTCTCTCAGGTAAAAACATAGTGGTTTTGCTATTTGTAGTTCTTCCACATTCACAGGGGTCCTGTGCCCCTAACCCCAGTGAATATGGAGAGACAGCTGTAGTTCAAAATGTACAAATGAATGGCATCTGAAAAAGATCTAGACACTCCTTTTTGCTGAGATTTTTCAACATACTGTACTGTGCAAGTGCAACATCGGCTTTCAGAATACAGAGATAGATAGTTGTTATAAGAAAGGCAGACATCTCATTTCTAAATAGGGCGTGAACTCTTTTGCTGAGATATTATCACGCATGTTAGGGAGTGGTGCCTTGGGAATTACATGAGGAATATGCCTGTACTTGTCTCAATTTCAATGACCTCAGGAATGAGGGGAAGCCATTATCAGTACAGATGGCAAACCTACATTGATATGCTTCCTAATTAGATCTCTGGGATAGGAAAACAAATACCTTAACTAATTAAATGTGTTAGTAGTTCCTAGTTATGCACAATATGACAGTTATCATGGCAATTAAATGTATGCACTTTTGCAGTGGAATCCTGGAATTCATTGAAAAAGGAAGGTGACGGCAAATTTTATTTCTTTGGGCCTTTTCATACTACACATTTATAGCTCTTTGATTGCACTTAACTGCCATGGTTGCATCCTATGGAATCCTAAAATGTGTAATTTGGTGAAGCTCTAGAGCTCTCCAGCAGAGAATTCTAAATATCCCTTCCTGAACTGCAGATCCCAGGATTCTATATGATTAAAGAGACAGCATGGTGTAGTGGTTTGAGTGTTGGACTATGACTCTAGAGCCCAGGGTTCGAATTCCCGTTCAGCCATGGAAACCCACTGGATGACCTTGGACACACTCTCACAGTCTCAGAGGAAGGTGAACAAATCTTGCTGGGAAGAAACTGATAAGGTCATCTTTGTGTTGCCATAAGTCCGAAATTACTTAAAGGCACACAACAACACCAACATGGAATTAATGTGTTATAGTTTTTCAGATCCTTAAAAGACTTTTGGCTCAATTAGGTTGAATTTCCCTATTCCATGCCTGCATTTCACTCTCCTATTTTTAACACTCCATTTATTTATTTATTTGCTAATCCCATTCTTTCATTTCATAGCCCATGCTGTGCTTTCTTTACATGTTGCTTCCAGATGGGGCTATCATCATGCAATCTCCTTGCCTCATTTACAGAATTTTAGAGGTGAAGAGGTTTGCCAGACATAAATTACTTCTTCTACCTTTTTTAACTGCAAGAAATACATTAAGGATGGAAAGACAAAACAACTGTAGAATGTCTTTTGCTTGGTAACATTAAGAACTATCTATCTACAAGTACCTACTTGATCACTGAATCCTTTCTGTATCCTTTGCTCTATTGACCCTATATAACTACTCTTAATGAGTCTACTATGATGGCCAGTTCTCCAGTATTTTCCAAGGCTTTCCCCCTTTTTCAAGGGATGTTCTGTTGTTGTTTGGAATTGTATTTAATCCAAGAAAAGCCTGATGTAAGTATGTGTTTGTGTGTAGAAGCATGTTGTTATTCTTCTTGTTTTTGTTATTTCCCTCTCTCTCTTGTGGGACTTCTTGCCATGTTGTGGTGGTATGCCTTTAAGTTGTTTCTGATTTATGATGACTCTAAGGTGAACCTACCATGGGGGTTTCTTGGCAAGATTTGTTCAGAGGGACCTTTGCCTTTGAGGCTGAGAGTGTGTGACTTGCCCAAGGTCACCCAGTGGGTTTCCATGGCTGACCAGAGACTCAAACCCTTTTCTCCAGAGTCATAGTTCAGCACCCAAACCTCTACCCAAACCATAACTCCATCAGTGTGGGGCAGAGTGGTGGGGACAGTGGTCATTGTGGCACAACACAATGGGCTAAACTGGAACAGTAAAACATGGTGTTGGCCTTAGTCAAGTTGTCAAATTCAAAAGAACTAGAACTACATTGTGATTCCCCCTCCTTCCCTTTCCACTTCAGCTCCAAGTCTTACTTTGAACTAGACTCCATCATTTTAAAATGCTTGTACATGTAATTTTTCCAGTTATTCAGAAAATGACATAGAGAATATAACATTTTAAAAAAAAACAGAACAAGCAATAAATGCACCAGGATGTGTATATTATTTCTATAAAAAAGAAAAAGACATGAAGTTTTTGGTTTACTGGTTCACAGAATGAGAAAATGACAGTAAATCAATAGCTTTTTACCATTCAGCCAAAGCATCTCTCCATAGGTCCAGATATGATTGTGGGAGGTGCAAATTTGCCACTCTTACTGATGAAATTAAGAAAGGGAAATTTAATTCTGGCTAGTAATTTCTGATATTTTGTATACCAGATATTAGGGTTTCTATAAATGCTATTTCCTCACCATTTTTCTATCAGGTTTCAGTCAAGAGGTGCTTCAGGATTTTGTAGTACTGAGCTGTTAAAAAATGTAAGCAGTTATTCGTAATTAAAACCTCACAATTGTCACAAAACATAGAGAGATTTCTTATTTTTGGATCAACTGGAATTGCTTGATTTATATTGACTTATTAGAAATAGTTTATTCTAACATTCAGAAATACTGGGACACTCCTACCACATGTGGTAATATATACCTAGTTCCCAACAGTTCTCCAGTATTTGTTAGATTAATGTCTATATTCATTATTTCATCTTTAATAGGAACCAATTTTATCTTATTTTAAGTTATGTTCTCTCATATGGAAGGATACAGATTTTACAGTAAGGCTCTTCCACAATGTTTTCCATTTAGCTTTTTCCATGTTCATGTATAGATTAGGTTTCATAGAGCTGTGCAGTGGGTTCTGTGTTAGGCTAGGATTGCAGGAACCAGGGTTTGAATCTCTGCTCAGCTATGGAAACTCACTGGGTGACTTTTGTGGGTTTTTTCGGGCTGTGTGGCCATGTTCTAGAAGAGTTTCTTTCTGATGTTTCGCCAGCATCTATGGCTAGCATCTTCAGCTCTTTTTCTCTGAAGATGCTAGCCATAGATGCTGGCGAAACATCAGAAAGAAACTCTTCTAGAACATGGCCACACAGCCCGAAAAAACCCACAAAAAACCTATGGATGCCGGCCATGAAAGCCTACGACTTCTCACTGGGTGACCTTGGGCAAGTCACACTTTCTCAGCCTCAGAGGAAGTCACTGGCAACCCTCTCTCTGAACAAATCTTGTTGTGAACCCTCCATGATAGGTTTGCCTGAGTTGCCATAAGTCAGAAATGACTAGAGGGCACACAACAATCACCATCCATGTTTGTAGAGATATTTTCACAGATGAAAGTGGTTCTTATTTCAGTTGGTTTACCATGTGAATGCAAATCCTACTTTGGCTAGAATGTTCATTTGCATTACAAGTGCCTCTCTTCCCCTTTCTAAGTGATTAGACATTAAACAAACTCATAACACAAAAGAGGCTCAAGTTTTTTTTAATACTGAACCCACTTGTTCAGGATTTACAGCTCAAACCTCTCCATGATGATTCAGAGGTATGTCCCAGAGGCTTACTTTCCAAGTAGCATTCCTAAGACTGCATTTTACTTAACTGAATAGGATCTTTTTATTTTAATGACAAAGACTGGCAGAAGCCTTTTGATTTCTGCTGTCCTTTCACACTTCCTTATGGCAGACCAACTTTGGTTAAATGGACCAATATGACTGTCCCTGAGAACATTACACAAGATTAAGATACCTTAAATGTATAATCAGAAGAACTGATCTTTAACAAAGGAAAAAGCAGAACAGGTTTCCTGAAAAAAGCCAAGAGCTGGCCTTCAAATTATCACAGAAACATGGTATCCTGACAGTGAGGCAACTGTATTTCAAAGAAGAGGTTTGAAATATTGACTTGAATGCTTTAAGAAGGTCTTTCAGGAATGAAATGTATAACTGATTTCTTTCTTTAAAAAAAAATCCATCAGTGATACCTTTATTAGACAACCAAATGCACAATATACTTGTGTCTGTTTTCTGGTTTCTTTTTTGGCAGGTATAAAATATCACATCTAAAAATCCAGCAGTTCTTTAAAACAATCAGAGGCCATAGGTTCCTTCATATCATACCATCATAGGGTGTGTATGTGTGTGTGTGTATGCACACACACTTCTTTTTACTCTTTTGTTACATCCATTCAACTTAATTCCAAATTATGGCAACCGTACCATAGGTTTTCTTAGCAAGTTTTATTCAGAGAAGGCTTGCCATTGCCGACCTCTAAGGCTGAGAGAGTGTGACTTACCCAAGGTCCCCTGGAGGATTTCAATGGCTGAGCAGGGATTTGAACCCTGTTCTCCCACAGCCCTAGTCTAACATTCAAATAACTACACCACACTGACTCTCCATACTTTTTTCTTGGGGATCTTAAATGTTTTGTGCAGCATTTCATATTTTTGGCTTGAATCTTAAATAATGCCTCACTGGCAACAAGAGGGTCCCATTCACAGGATGCTCCTTCCAGCAGATGATATGGGATGGCATTCTCTCTCCCCTATATCCTCTTTTCCGCCTGAATATGTGCTACAGAGAGTTAGCAGACCTACAGGAACAGGGATAGGTCTAGTGGCACAGAAGTAGGTTTACCAGACCAAAAACTGAGTCTTGGGGAATGAGCCTTTGTGATGGCACAGGAGGTGAACCTTAGTGATGTGACAAGGGTGATGTGGCAAACACAATAACATTATGCATCCATTACAGCTGTGCAGAGTATGGCATTCAAATAAAAAACACAAATTCAAAAAATATATACAGCTGGCCCTCCACATCTGTGGCTTTGATTTACAGATTTGATTATTTGTGGTTTTTATTAATATGTTCTCTCTAGGAATCTCTAGGCTTTCCAGTGCAACTCTGGCAGAATTTGACCATAGAGTCACACTGGACGATCTAGAGTGGTCAACCTGTGCTGGATGTTGACCATAGAGTCCCACT